AAAAAAATACCAAAGTATGAGTTGTGACGGCGGTCAACGACTTGAACTGAGTGCAACCTATCTATGCATCAATTCTTCCAAGCAGTGGCCCCTCACTAAACTGTGAAGATTCAGAGCCTTTTTAAACTTCACATAAACAAAGAACTGGGCAGAATTCTATTGAAGGAGATTTTGCTGCAAAACAATACCATTTTTGCCCTTGGAGAGCAGAAATGTGTTTCCTCCAAGTGCAAACTAAGCATGCGGTACGTTTCAAAGTTTACAATTGCAATCTTTAAAAATCGAAAGCCAAAAGGTGGCGAGAAGCAAAGAATTCGTTTTTCATCTTGCCAGCTTCTTGTTGCAGAATTTCGAACCAATTTTTGCACGATTATCAAAAGAATTGGAAAAATCTGATTGACTCATTCCAACTCCGCCAACTTAGATTTTCAAAAAATGCTATTAGTTCCATTTTGCTAGTTAACTAGAAGTAAATTTTAAAATTTTCAGGAGGGTAAGTATCTCTACGAATTTCGACTTCGGCTATCCATAGAATTAAAAATGAGGCTCTCACCGTTTCGATATAATGAACAAACAGATTTGACACGACCACGTTGTATACGGTAGTGAAATCGAGAGCCGTGCTCAGCTTGGTTAGAATTGGCGTAGTTTGTAGCTCAAAATCGAAGAACTCCAATGACAAAAAGTACGGTGGACAAGCTCCAACAGAGGCGACGTAGTCGTCAGACAAGCTGATGAAGGTGAACATGATGGAGAGATCTGTGGAGATCTCAGCTTTTGTTCCCTTGAAGACGCATTTTTTCGCAAACATTGATTTTCACTAAGATGAAAAACTTACAGGTGACTTGAGTGGAATAGGTTTTTGATTTCCATAAGCTATGGAACGAATTTGTTCTTCAAGCAAAAGAATTTTCTTTTGCTTTTCAACAAGCTTATCTCGTAGCTCCTTCAGTTTTGACTCATATCTGACTTTGATAGCTTCCATTTCCTCCTGCAGCAAGGTTATCTGTAATAATTCATACAGGGATGATATATCAGGAGGATGGACCTGATTTATAGCTACCTCTGTGTTTTGCTTTTGATTAATGTCATGCTGAACCAAGAGCATATTTCGTAGTTTTTCTAACTCATCATACAAAGAAGCATACATCTTTTTCCATCTGGAATGGTTTCTTGACTTTATTTTATTTTGCTCTTTGAATTCTTACTTGGATAACTTCTCCGCAGGTCCTCCAGAGGATTCAATGATGCCATCGTCGTAATTGTCGTGAGTCTCTAGAATAGCCGAAACATCTCTATATAACCTTTCAAGGATGTCGTCGCCATTTATGCCCTAAAATTTGTTTTATCTTATTTTCAATTAAAGCGCGCAAGTCGAAAAAAGAAAAAACCAATTCTCTGCAAACAATCAGAGCATAAAACAAAGGAGAAAAAATTGCTCAAAGAAATCGAGATAACCACTGGTGATTACAGAAGCAGGTAAGGTAGGTCTTAAATGATAATTTTAGTTAAATAATGTTATTTTCTTTAATTCTATAATGAAAACAGCATTGTTTATTTGTTCGAATAAACTTACATCCAAAGCTTGCGTTTTTTTTATGTATCGTATGAAGTTGCTTATTTGGGAGAAAGACAATGAGTTGTTAGGGTCTCCATCTCATTCTGCCAATTTTCAAACTTTATCGCTCAATTTTCAAAAGCAATTTGCACAACCTAATCCAGAATTTTAGCATTAACGTATGACGAAAAATGTTTGGCTTCCTTTGCATCGCATGCTGTGCTAATACTTTCGAGAAAAAGCTTTGTCATCCAATGTTTTGCATTATCACGCTTCCTCGCAGGAGAAGGGCTTGTCCTTTCCGTACATATCTTTCCTATGCATGACCAAAGTTCTTTTGACAACACTTTACACTGGACTCATGCTTACCATATCAATCTCCTAAAAAACAATAAAACTAACTTATATATCACCCTAAACCTGATTATCATTTAACAACTATCCAAAGCCTGTTTTATTTTGTAAAAACTCTTTACGCCTACGATCAGCTAAGTTCCTCACATATATGTACGAGCTGCGATTTTACAATTTTGTAGAACAGCGACAATAAAGCAAGTTGTTCAAACAAGATGAACAATTCGCTTATGTAAGTTTTGAGTTTATTCCTAAGATCAGCTCAGTTCTAATATATTCAACCAAAGTCCACATTATTCCAAATCTATGTTTTTAGCCGCGATAGCGAGTGATACTGATTAATATGTAGGAATAGGTATACGATCTTTCTCCAGTTAATATTAAAACCATCCCATTCTCTTATCCATTTTTATCAATATCGGTAGCAGCTACAGTTAGAAAATTATAAAGAAACCGAAAAAAGAGGAGGAGATTCT